CGTAGCTGAAGTTGCGTACCGTAGTTCGATTTGGGGGGATAGTGTAGACCAAGCCTAAGATAACCAGGCCAGCCCCAGCCCTGCTATAGTTGCCACAGGGGAGGGGAGGAAGTGGGATGAGGACGGAGATGCAGGTTGTTAATTTAACAGCTTAAGGTACAGCACCGATTCCAGAAGCCAGCCAATCTGGCCTCCAGCCTCTTGCCCTCCAGCGAACATCATCCCCACCCCCCGTCACCTGATACCTACCACAACCTTCAGTTTCTTCTTCACGCCATCAGACACAAAACTGCCCCACACTGCTGCCTTGACCTCAATGTCATGAGATCCCAGCTGCAGCGGGACAATCACTAATGGCACGGCCAGGGAGGACTTGGCTTTGATGTCAAGGATCTGCCGGTATTTAGCCTTGGAAGTGGATGCGCTGCAGAAAACTGGGTTGTACAGCAGCTCCAGCCGGACCTGAGAAGAGAACAGAGATTCGTGAGCAGGCAGTCTGCCCACCATGACACTGTAGGTCATTGATCCAAAATGTACCCTCTGACTGGAGTTTGCCTTTTTAGTCTTAATAAATAACAGACAGGACTGTACTTACAAAGCACAAGACTGTATCCTGATCTCCTTCCTGAGAGGCCCTTCAGGACCCCCTCTAGTTCTATCCTGCCTCAGAGAGGCCCTCAGCCTGTGGTGTTCCTGAGTGGAAGTAATGAGACCCACCTGGTCTGGCTACTGGTGTGAGTCAGCAGAAAGCTCTGAACCTGGTACCTACTCACAGATTTGGGGCCCAACCAGAGAAGAATGGCAGACAGAAAGGTATTTTTTTATCTTCCTCTATATCATGCAATCTTGCCAGAAGCTGGGAATAGGCAACAGGGGATGGATCACTTGATGGTTACCTGTTCAGTTCATTCCCTCTGAAGCCCCTGGCATTGGCCACTGTCAGAACACAGGATTCTGGGCTAGATGGACCATTGGTCTGACCCATATGGCCGTTCTTATGTTCTTAACTGGGTGGATTCCATAGCCCTGCTCCTGCAAGGTGCTGAGCACCCAACAAGGTCAATGGGAGACAAGGGTGTCCAGCCCCAAAGGGATCAGGCCCTAGAAGAACAAGCCTTCCACCATTTTGTTTTGGTTTCGCTGTCTGTCAAAGCATTGGTCTCCTCAGGTCCACTGTAGAGCCCCATGAGGCGGTGAGCTTACCTTAATTGGTTGGTCCCGATAGTTGTAGAGAATAGCCCGGATTTCCACCTGCTCATTCCTCACTACAGAGTAGGGCAGCCGGAGGTCGATGAAAAAATCTTTCATTACTGTTATCTCATAGGGGTCAGCCACACAGATCCCTGCAATGGGGAAAGACCCAGGGTCAGAGACGGGGGGGCTTATACTTTAGTCCTGAAACGTGTCTGTCGCCTCGATTGTTCCATCTCACTGTGATGTTTCCAAGGCCCATTGTGGCCTGGCATCTTTTCCCTATTAGCTTTTCTGCCTGTTCTCTGGAGAGCTTGTGGTGTTCCTCACCTTTGGTCTCTGAAAGGCTCACAGCCAGGACTTCCCAGGTGGTGATGGAATCCTTCAGGAAAATAGGCACCGTCTTGGAAGAAATTCTACATGGAAAGAGAAAGACAGAGTCTTTTACAGAAGGAAGGAGCTAGGACTCATGGACATTCCCCAGCTAAAGGTCTAGACCAAAGGTGGGCAAAGTACAGCCCACGGGCCACATCTGGACCCTCCTGCCTAGCCCCTAAGCTCTTGGCCTGGGAGGCTAGCCCCCGGCCCCTCCCCTGCTGTTACCCCTCACCTGCAGCCTCAGCTCACTGCTCCGTCGGCGCAATGCTCTGGGTGACGAGGCTGCGAGCTCTTGCCGGGCAGCGCAGCTGTAGAGCTGGCCTGACCCGGTGCTCTGTGATGCACAGTGGTGTGGCTGGCTCCAGTCGGATGGTGTGGCTGCCTGTCCTGGTGCTCTAGGCGGCACGACTGTAGCACCAGCAGCCACCGGTGCTCCAGTAAGGTAAGGGGGCAGGGAGCGGGGGAGGGAGGGGTTGGATAGAGGGCAGGGGAGTTTGGGGTGGTGGTCAGGGGGCAGGGTTGTGGATACGGGTCGGGGTGGTCGGAGGGTGGGGAACAGGGGGGTTGAATGGGGGTAGGGGTCCCGGGGGGGCAGTTAGAAAGGAGAGGGAGGTTGGATGGGGTGGCGGGGGTCAGTCAGGGGCAGGGAGTCTGGGGGCAGTCAGAGGTGGATGGGTCCCGGGGGGGCCATCAGGGGACAGGGAACGGTGAGGTTGGATGGGGCAGGAGACCTGGGGGGGTCATCAGGGGGCGAGAAACAGGGGCAGTCGGATAGGGGCCGGGGGCCGGGCCACGTCTAGCTGTTTGGGGAGGCACAGCCTCCCGTATCCAGCTCTCCATGCAATTTCAGGAACCCGATGTGGCCCTCAGGCCAAAAAGTTTGCCCGCCCCTAGTCAAGATCCTTCTATCTTAGGACTGAAGTCCATGGTAAAGCCTTCTTCACCCAAACACTGAACTATAGAGCCATCTCTGGGGAGGAACTCAGCGGTCCAAGTTCTGCACCAGCCACAGGACGCAACCTGTTTTAAAAGTCTCAAGAGTAGGGATATTAATTCTAGTGTCCCGGTCTAATTCCAAGCAGGGGAATTATATTCCATTCCAGTGGAGAGGGGCCTGACCCATCACTTCATTTACCTTTTTTTAAAAAAAAGGTTCAGCCGTCCAATTAGAAAGCACCATCAATATCACATGACTCAACAACCCAATAACACACCCTGAACAACAAACACAAATGAGGAACGGTTCCCGAACAGGATAAAAGGCCAACGCTAAACAGCCAGACACCTACATCCTATTCTAGCACCTAAATCAGCAGCCTGGTTTTTCATTAGGGCTGAAGCCAGGGGATACCGCTCACTGCCCAGCACCTCTGGAAGTTGGGCCAGTTCTTTTAGGTACCTAAATATGGGCTCAAAACTGGAGTAACTGAATGAAATTCTCTGGTCTCTATTATGCAGAAGGTGAGACTAGATGATCTAACAGCTCCTTCTGGCCTTAAAATCTAGGAGTGACTCTATGAATATGGATCAGCTGCTGAATGCTGGCCCTAATTCATGACAAATACTCCACCCGGCTCCACTGGGGATCTTGCTGTGGAGAGACACTGACTTGAGTGGGAGCTACACCATGCCACGTCTGAATGTGGCCCTTTGATGAATGGGAGCGACACGGCCACAGGCTCTTACCCCAGTTCATTTGGTCGCTCAGTAAGCTGCTCCACTTGCCACAACCAGCTCTCTGGAAACTGGCTCCTGGAGGTGATATCTTCGTCGGACATGAAATCTTCATCCAAGTCACCTGGGAAGTCAAATCACAGACCGTCTGGCTCTGCAGTGACATTGATTGGGATGGGGCAAATCTGAAAGGATTCGGGGGTTGGCCTCCTCTAGAACTGACCTGAAAGCATCCCTGATTTGACCTATGTTGCCAAGTTTTGATGCTGCCAGCCCAGAAAAGCATGAACTGGAGTGTGGTTGAATGGCTGGAGGGAAAGCCACAGGCTTCTTCTCCTCTCCATGCCTGCCTTGCTGTTCCCCCAAGAGCTAGCCTTTTCTGGGCTCCTATAACACTGGTATAAGCCACTGGCTCAGTGCTACATGTGCGCCCTCTACTGGATATTTTGCAAAGGGTAAGAGCCTACTACTATTTCTAGCTAGGGGAGTTACCCCTTTAGCTCAAGTGGTAGAGAATTGTGCTTTAGAAACAAAGATTAAACCTCAGCGGCACCCTGTGAAGAGGTTATTACCCTGACTCATCTGGGTCCCCATATCAACATGGTGCAACACTAACAGGATTGCTGCCACTGCATTTATGCCCATCTCCCCCCCCGGGGGATCTGTGAACATGAGCAGGGTTGGTTCATGTGGCGTGGTCTTATTTCTCTAACAATCCCCCCAGTCTTGCTCCTCTGAGTGATATTGAAACCCTGGTACTTGCTTCTTGCAAGTTCCAGGTGGAGCTCCCGTTGCAGCTTGTCCCGTATGGTCTTGATATAATTGCAGCAATCGAGGAAGGTCTTCTTGCATTCATCCGTATCCAGGATGTACCCAGCCCGCTTCTCGCAGCTGTGCCCCATGGGGTTCTCGTGCATCCCATCTTCACAGCATTTCTTCTGCTTCCGGTCCTGGTAATCTGCCGCTGAAATGTATAAGCCAGAAGGTCATTCCTACCACGCTTCTTCAAATCCTCACTCTCTCTCATTAATTTACTAATGGACAAAGCCAAAGAAGGAACATAGGAACTGGCACTCTACTCAGTGGGTTGAGCATTGGCCTGCTAAACCCAGGATTGTGAGTTCAATCCCTTAAGGGGGCCACTTAGGGATCTGGGGCAAAATCAGTACTTGGTCCTGCTAATGAAAGCAAGGGGCTGGACTCAATGACCTTTCAAGGTCCCTTCCAGTTCTAGGAGGTAGGATATCTCCATAAATTTAACCCAGTATCTTGTCACTAGTACCAGCAACTTCAGAGAAAGGTGCAAGAAACCGCATAGTGGAATAACCTGCCCACAGAGAAGTTTCTTCCTGACCCCAATCAGAGGTTGGCTCATGCCCGGAAGCATGAGGATGTATAGCTCTTCTTAAAAAATCCTATCCTATGGAAGGGTGAACATCCTCCTTTTCCATGTAAATGGCTCATCCTTTTTTGAATCCTGCTAGGCTCTTGGCCTCAATACAATCCTGTGGTGGTGAGCACTATGAGTTAATTATGAAAATAGTTCCTTTATAAATTCTTAATTAGAAACCATTCAGTTGGGTTGAGTGTCTCCTTGTGCTTATATGGGTAATGTAACAATGTACCTGTTGATGTTATTTGAATTGTAGTAGCACTTTGGGTCCCCAGTCATGGCCCAGAATCCCACAGTGCTGGGGGCTTTACCAACACAGAACAGAGAGACGGTCCGTGCCCCAAAGAGCAATTTACCATTCATTATTTTCTATACCTCTATAAATTGACCAGTTCCAATCTCTCCTCATATGGAAGTCTATCCAGACTCCCCCATCTCATGTTACAGGTAATGCAGCTGGCAGGAGGCTGTAGCAGGGTGAAACTGGTCACACTAGGGAATCACATTCCTGCTTCGCATGCTTGCTTTGACCAAGGACAGCAAACCCCCTGATTAGTACCTACTTTTGATTGCCTTATATTCAATGAGCTGAACGGAGCGACGCCGGCGTTTTGCTGGCTGGGGACACTCTGGATCTGCAGAAGGAAGTGAGAAACAGAAAATAAAACCCCACCCACCGAGTGAGGCCCTACACTCAACTTGCTGCCATGTCTCTGTCTGGATGTAACAGGGTAACTTTCGAACACCACATCCGGTCAATTCCCAAATTTCCAAGAATGGTCTAGGCCTCAATGAGCAGAACCCCATTGATTTAGGGGGGAATCAGAAAACCAGAAAAGCCATTTTGGCACATAACATATTGCTCCTTCCTGTCCCAGCCACATAAGAGCTGTTGGGCAGATGCTCAGTCAGCCAGGGCAACCAGAAAGAGAGGAGAGTGAAGGAGGCTTCATTCCTTCCTCCTTCCTAGCGCGCTGCCCCCAAAAGCCTGCAGCCTGGGGCAGAGAGCGAGTCAGAGAGAAGCACCAGCCACCTGCCCGTCCCTTCCAGGCCAGGGGGAAGAAAGATACTTTGGAAATGGGAGAAACCCAGTGGTCTAGAAGAGAAACTCTTTGAATCCCCTCCTCGAAACCATCCCATTCTTAAAATTAATCCCTTTTTTAATAGGTGGGGGGCCAGTGGGAATTCAGGAACTTATTCTCATCCCCGACGGTAACCCCAACATTTCCATTCCTAGGCCATTCCAGTGGGATTTGCCCTGCTAGACTGATGTCCCTACCCCGGGCTCACGCCATAGGTTACTGTGCCTTGCTTTGCTGACTCTTTCCTCCCTTCCTCCAACGCTCATGGCGACCGTTCAGCTCTATAGAGTGATACCTGTTCTCTGGGCTGTGGAAATCCTATTGCTCGTCTCCAGGGCCAGTCCAGCATCCGTAAATACCCCCAGATTGTTCTTTCCACTGCCAGCCGTACATCCAATGTCACTCTTCTCCACGGAGTCCCAGATCTGTGAGGTGCAAACACAATGGTTGAGAGATTATTGTTAACAATGGTACCTCCCATTTATAGGTGACATCCAGCATGATCCCAAAGCATTATACAGGCTCTGAGCCAGATTCTGGTTTCAGGTACAACCGTGCAATCTGCAGTAACTCCATTGACTAGCTCCGTGTTTGCAGCAGTGTAAATGAAAGCAAAAACTGTAAGTAAAGGATTTATTGCAACTCAGTCCCCACTGAAATGCGGCCACCTCTGGGATGGAGCACAACAGTCATTCTGCACCAGCAACACAACCGATTTTAGGAGGAGAAAGAAAGAATTATGCAGCCAGTTGAACCCAGACAGAGGAGGATGTTATGCAGATAGAAATTAAATACCCAAGTTAGAATTCAGCCAGAACACCCGGGGCCTGACCCTTGTGGAAAGGGTCACAGGACATTTAATGACCAGAACCTCTGTTTGATAAGTCAGCTGACAAATGGCAGTTTCAGTAGCATTGCATCCCCTAGAACCTTGATAGGGCCCGGAGATCAGCGCTGACTCAGAAGAAAGCCACCCTCTGTTGAGTCACTAACGCTTTTCCCTGCAGCACAGCACCCACTAATGTTGCACTGGGACATTGGGTTCAGCACTGACTGGGAGAGGACAGCACCCCCTGCTGTGCCCCCACTCCACTCAATGCAGCACAGCGCCCCCTAGCGCCGCATTGGGGCACTGGGTTCAGCTCTGACTGGGGGAGGGAGAGCACCCCCTCCTGAGCACACCCCCACTCCCTGATGTACAGCACCACCATGGGCACTGGGGTGAGAACTGCCTCTGAAGGGAGACCGCCGCCTACTGCATCACCCGCACAGCTCCCTACAGCCCAGCACCATCTGTTTCCCAGCCAAGTACTGACCTAGCCCGGCCCAGCTCAGTTAAAGTACAGTCGAGCTCACACCCCAAGCAGCAGGTCTGCAAACAAATGGCTCACTTTGCTTTGGGGCGTAGAGCAAGGATAAGAGCCGAGCTGCATTTCCCGCTATAAAACATCACAAGTTACATCCAACATCTTTCATGCCCCACCTTAGATTGTGTAATTTTGTGTTTTTTGTTCAGAACGTAGACCCCTTTGTCCACGGCAACCAGGCCGACATAAGCTTTGTGGTCTCCTTCCAGCTTGAGTTTCATTGGAGTTCCCGGCTCATGGATTCTCCTGTCTTCGTTGCTGGCTCCTTTCACCACTAGCTGTATGAAAGAGAATGAAGGGAGAAGTTTTGTTTTAAAGCAGAGGGAGCAGCTAAGAACCTGTCCTTTGCAAAACATAGGAGAAAAGGGCGTCAGACCTCTTGTTCCTTGAGCATCTGAAAGCCTGGTTCTGATCTCAATAGCAGCTGTGTAAATCTGGAGTAGCTCCACTGACTTCAGTGCTGTTACTCCATATTTATGCTGGTGTAAACTGAGAGCAGAATCGGACCCAATGTCCATGAGGTCCCATTGTTCCGGCCATGATGAAAAGGTGACTTTGTCCCTCAGGCAGCCCTGGGAAATCTACAAAAAGTTTGATCTGTAATGGATCTCCTCCTCCGTGGGCCCAATTCTGATCTCACACTGGTGTAAATCAGGAGCAATTAACTGGAGTTACAGCAGCTCAGCATTGTAGTTACATCACAGTCAGGTCCCCTATAGGCATTTGGAGTCACATCTGCTGAATTCATGGGCCAAAAATAAGCATCTTCCTGCTGTTAGCCCCTAAGAGCCAGCCCAGCCCTGGGAGAGGGAGCTGGAATCAATTCTGACTTTCCACATTATCAGCAAAATGGCTAATTATGGTGCAGCTACAAAGCCAGATACTCAGCTGGCGCCAGTCAGTAGAGCTCCATCCACTTCAATCCACAATCCACAGCGTCTTTATTGCTGAGCTAGAAGGAACCACAACTTGACTCCCGTACCCCAGAGTGGGTTGACAGCATTGGCTTGTGGGGGCTTGTGAACATCTTTGTATGTGTAAACTGACCAAATCTGATTCAGAATTTGCTGGGAAACAGTCAATAAGAAGCCCTACAGTGCCATTTTTAGAGTCCCTTTTGAGAGTCAGTCGGCACTTTCAGGCTAGGAAAAACTCCCTCGTAATGACACCATCATAGGAATTAACATGTAGAAGGCCAACTTGAATATCCACCTACCGTTCCCATGCAAGTGTCCTGGATGTCCAGCCAGACCGAGTCTGCTACAATCTCCGAATTTCCTACTTGGTAGTAAGCCACGATGCGGAATGAAGGGACGAGGTCTGGAGTGATGGGCAGGGACATGGTCACCAGATTTTGTCCCACCTGCCTGTCCTGTCTCCCTACACGAATGATCTTCCCTTTATTCAGGATCTAACAGGGAAACATGAGATGTGGATTGTTAAAGGCCACAAAGGTTAGCACAATGGATGATTCAGATTCCATCCACCTGTGTTCTACAAGTAAGAGACGGTCACTTGCAACTTTTCATATGAGCATTTACATCTGAGCGGAGAGAGGAAAATAAGCTAAAATCCATGTGTTGCAGGAATAGGCTCTAGATGCAGTGGTGCTAATATTCACCAAATCTGATTCCCAAATCTGAGTACTGTTTATGTTTCACCAACAGAGACCACCCCTCCTTTCCCCCACCCCACTCACCAAATATACTT